AGCCTTTAAGCATGCTGATTGCAGATATCATGCTCGTTCAGTGCAACAATGTCTAATTGTTAGGGTTACGATGAGCTGCAGTGCGTGAAAGGGCAACTAGGGTAACTTTTCCGCCTTACAGCCAAATTTAGATTCCGAAAATCCACGAAAAGGCTCTATCGTGCGAAACGAATGCGATATTCGAAAATAGCGTGCTTAGGAACCCCTCCAGGCAAAATTTTGAGCGAATTCGGGACTAAACCATCTACCGTAGACCCACCGTAACCCAAGAAATTGGCGTTACGTACGAAAAAATATGATTTTCATGTTTAAGGTTCCAAATCCCCCTAGACGAAGTTTGGAACAAATCTGTGGTTTTGATCCTCTACCGCTATCCTACCGTAACTCCACCGGATGGCACTACCGTGCGAAATAAATGTGATATTCGTAATCAGGGTAACCCCCTCAGACGAAGTTTTAGCGGAATCCACGATTTTCATTTCTTGCATCAACTAATGTGGAATAGTACCCGGTTCTCCATGAACATGTTACAAAGTTTGGAGTGCACCTAGTTCACATGTTATAGAGCGTTATTGATGGAGTATTGTGATTGTGATTACCGCTAAGATTGTGATTACCGCTTATTTATGTACTCCGGAATTCTGCTCTATGAAATAATTGTTCTTCGAGCATCATGACGTCTAAGGGGCCGGGCATACTTCACGCGATTTCAGTCGCGACGCGATTTGGCAATATTCCAACTGTCCGTAACTCATTGTAAGCACAATTTGAATGTACAGAAGATAGCGTATTTTATCAACCCACTTAAGTCATACACACCATGCATGTGCAGTTTGCTAGTGTTGCATCTGAAGAGTTCTGGCGAATTGCCAAATCGCGTCGCGACTGAAATCGCGTGAAGTATGCCCGGCCCTTAATAAGTAATTGCTTAGGGAACAAGTAGTTATACATGGTACTGTACCTCAACAGGTGAGCAGAATTTATATTTCTTGTGCAAAGACTTGTTTGTTATGTTCAGAGCTGGAAATGATGACGATGCAGTGTTAGAACAGTTACTTCGTACTACATGTATATGGAATTCTGCTACACACAATGCTGTTGTAAGCTATGAAGTTGGCTTCTCGCCCATATCTTGAGGTTTTTATAATTGTCGGTATACAGTGCAATACCGTTTTGTGAGATAAGTATTATGGACTACAAGAAAGGACATGTCCCTTTATGGTGGTGAGCTCGCGCCTACATGGGGGTTGTCGTTTTTGTATAGTGCATTGTTGATGCATATACTATGTAGTATATGTTAATCTAACACTTGTTTTTTCTGGTCTATGCTCATTCGGCAAGAACTGAATAAAATATTGCAAAGGATTTCTTGTCACATTGTAATTATATGACTGGGAAAATAAATTGTTTACCAGAAATTGATGATAACGCTAGCACGATTCGCTACGCTGTAGCTGATTTGCCCCATTATTCATTAGACATCAAATCCAGCTGTTGCACTCCAGAAAGTGAACTGACCACACATCTTCCTGGACAGAGCACTCGCTTGGGTTTCTCGAAGGCACGAGGATTTCATTATGTTTGGGTATGCAGTGATGCAGGGAGGAGGACGTTGGCTGGAAAATGTTCTACGAATTTCCTAACAGACGGACAGACACACACCCAATAAAACGCGCACAACCCTTAGCACGTTATTGCAGGGAGAGGCAAAAGTCTGGGAGCAGACTGTGCGGTGCTGTACAAGAAACTACTGATGATTTTGAACCATGCAGAAGTTCCGTGGTAAACGAAAGGAATGTGATTACGGAGCAGAAATGATATTTCGCAGCTCTTCGGTTTCTTTCTTCTGATAGGATATATCATAAATGTGATCAAAATAGGAGTTCCAAGCATCTGCATCAGTTGCTTAGTTGGAATCACATGGCATGTTGCTATGTATGTCGTGACTCCAATTCCTTCTTCGGTGCCTGCTTACTTGCGTGAAGGATTACTACCGTCGTTTATGATCGAAGTATTGCTACCGAGTCTCCGCCTACCTTCACTTTTGAGCTGGTACAGGGTGACCACCTTCACTTTTGGGTTTGAAAAAATTTGGAAAAAAAACAGCTCTAGCAAAAAATATCAGCAAAATATGAAGAACATCAGTCGTAAAGCGCAGCACTCAGCTTCCGAAACATCACTATGCATTTCAATTCTTAGATCCTCAGTCCGTACCCATCCATCACTCTGCTAACGAAAATCCTGAAAAGTCTCAAAAAAATACCTGCACTTTTGAGCTGGTACAGGGTGACCTGACTATCTCCACTTTTGGGTTTGAAAAATTTTTTTGCTGATTAAAAGAGGGAAAATAAGCAAAATGAACGCAAAAGAAAGTATAGAGAGCATATATCTATGTAGTTAGGTCGATCTAGGCAGTAACCGCCGAGAACCAGAATTTCGAATGAAAAAATAATGTAAAATCATGCGAAATTTCCACTGGTATAAATCTGGTGGTTGAAGATGTCAGCAAATGCGACTTCATAGGTTTTGGAGGGCATGTATTTTTCTACCAGATAGTGAAGGAGTTAGGCCGATTTGAGCAGTGGCCGCCGAGAACGAGAATTTTAAAAAAAATTAAGCGATTTTAGGTTACTTAGTGACAGCTGACGATTAAACTCATATTAATCTTAAATGTGAAAGTTTATGATGTTGCGACTTCATAGGTTTTGTAGAATAAGATTTGCCTTATCAGAATATATCTTAGCCGCACCGGTCCACTGAGAAACCGCTAAGATTCAGGCTCTTAAAAAAAACAGGTAAAAACAGCTTTTTTCTTTAGAAGCTCATAACTTCAGAATTGCATGAATCATGTTGCTACTTCATAGGTTGGATTCTCCTCTTCCAGAGCTTTCAGATGATGTATAACATGTGGGGGGAGGGGGGGGGGTTCGATGATTTTTGCGGCTCTAACTCGGGTTGGAGACTTTTCGTGCCAAAGTCTCCACCTCGCCCATGTCAATGTATTGGCTGGGGGGCCGCCAGTGGAGACTTTGTGATGAAAAGTTTCCACCCCCGGGCATATGCCGTGAGAGTCGCGAAACCCCCATATATTGTATATCATCTGAAAGCTTTTGAGGAGGAGAATCCAAGCTATGAAGTCGCAACATGATTAATGCAATTTTGAAGAAGTTATGAGCTGTTGAATTTCAAAAGGCGCTTTTTTACCTGCTTTTTCAAGACCCTGGAACTCGGCGCTGTTTCAATGGATCGGTACGGCTAAGATATATTCTGATAAGGTAAACCTTACTCTGTTAAGCCTATGAAGTCGCAACATCGCACACTTTTACATTCAAGATTAATATGAGTTTAATTGTCAGCTGTCATTAAACACGCTAAAATGGCGTAATTTTTTTAGAATTCTGGTTTTCGGCGACTATCTCTCAAACCGACTCAATTTTTAGATTATGATAGAGCACCATTTACTCTTCAAAACCTATGAAGTCTCAGTTGCTGATATCTTCAAACACCAGATTTATAACAATGGAAAGTTCGCATGATTTTTCGTTGCTTTATAATTAAAACTCTGGTTCTCGGCGCTTATTCCCTGGATCGACCTACTTTTTTCGCAGTACGTTACAAATTTACTTAATAAAGTGCGATTATAAAAAAGTTAATGGAGCTTTTGAGAAAGGAATTTTTTGCTAAAAGAGAAGTCGAGCTGTGCTTCTTCCCCCCCCCCCCCCGGTCGACGTTTTTGGGAGGTGAGTGTCCGGCACTACCATCTTCACTCCGGCCAGTGGTAGCTGGAACCATCTTCACTTTTGGGGGGCCCGGTTCCACCTATCGCACCTCTGGCCGTGATTGGCAGCCTTTGTGGTTGTTGTTACTGCTTTCTATATCCTCCTCTTTTCCGCTTTCGTTTATTGCTGACAATCTTATCTTTTTGCAATTGCCTCGTTCGTATCATTGAGAAATCTTAGTACTTTTACGTCACCAAACCCTGGCTTCACAGCATTCCGTATCATTTCACTTTGAAAGGCCATTATGAGTATTTGTTTATTCTAGCACTCCAGTCATATCTTGCTTTCTTTTACTACACTTTTCTTCGGGGCCAAATCCACTAGCCTCCGCCCGTAAGCTAACTGACACCCAAGGTCATCAGGGCTTTCTGAGATAGCAAGGTTCTGAAGCTCGCCTAGTCTTTGACTTATTGGCTTCTTCTTCTATTTGTTATTACTCGTTATATTTCTACCAGTGCCTCACCTCTGCTTCGCAGAGGTTCGCACTGGCCATCATGAAAAGTATAGGTAAACTTACGTAATGATCTTGGCCTTCATCATTTTTTGATGGAGGAAACCGCAAAGTAATTACGAAAATGAACCTTACTTGCTTTGCAACTCTCACATGCATTTAAGCAATGTAAATCATTCCTCATTGTAATTTCGTAACAGACAGACTTACAGACCGACAAATTAGAGGCTTATTATAAGTCATGATAATCATTTTATCTGGTGTTTTGTCTTTAACTATCTTGTTTTCCTCTCTATTACCTCACAGTTATTTCCTCGATATGACTGATTGATACTATGCTTGTTCGCTCGCTGGTTTTATTCATTGAATTTCTTTTTGGCACACCTTGAGTGTATTACATGTCTGTGTCATCCCCCATATCTGTTAACCGCTATAGACTATGCACAGTCGCTTATCACTTGGTCCACTCTCTAGCTTATCACCTAAAAGAATGTCACCTTATTAACAAAAATGGAACAAAACGAATTTCCAGCCACAAAGTGAGTGTTTTGCATACGGATGCGGATGTGGCGGATGATTGACTGCCCACATAACGTGAACTTTTGACCCTGCCCACATAACGTGAACATGAGGTCTTTCAAAAGCCTCTGAAATTTTTAAGAATCAAAACAAAAAGTGTAGCAGAATTTATAGGAAAACCTAATATTTCATTATGGTCGCAGGAAAGGTTAATTCCTTTCATACTTGAGGCCAAGCAATAACGAGTAGATTTAATGAGCTTTTTACAAGAAATACTTGGAAATGTGGCACATAGTTTTGTAGGGTCTACAGAGGTTTTGGTACGCTGATCGAAAATTACTAATCATTATGTGTGGCAGAGTCTTGGAGAATATCTTTGATGTAATAGTTCAGAAATGGAGCCCGAAAAGTGAGAGGTGTTTGAAATTCTACCCCCATAAAAAGGAGGTTGAAGAAAATCAGATAAAAAATGGACGAGTTGTAGACGGAGGCCGAAAGGAGGAGATCATTTTCCTTGAAGCGTAGAGGCATTTCCTGTGAAACAGATCCAATAAGTCAAGATAAAAAATGACAGTCTTGACACATAACGGCATATAAGAAGTGTACACGAGTCGATCTCACCTCGTATAGATGTCTTCCAGCTTCCTTGAGAGGCACCATGTGGGTCAAACTATGGACCTTAGTTCACTTCACAGCAAATCCGCAACTCCTCACGAACAAGACATCAAAGGAAACCAGCAACTACGATTCACACCTAGCTGAACAAGAACATTGCGCTAGCAATAACCATGAATGCTGCGATACTTGAAAGAGAGACTTGCTTTTGAGCGCCTGAAGAAACTGTAATGCACAATTACAACAATTACTTTGGGCGCGAACGCGGCTTTATTAGCCGCAGAGCGCATGAGGTGCGGGATTTACAACGGTGAGGATACGCGCACATCGCGTTCGCCCCGCTCAACCAATACTGCTCCTGCGTCTTCGTCATGCAGTAGCCTTTGAGTTTTCAAATGAGCGCATTTTCAGACTCAATCATTTTTGCAGATTTCGTAATTGCCAAGAGACTGCAGCGATACGCTTGCAAGCAATTCGAGGCGATTTATCACCTCGAGAAAAATCAAAGTAGGAACGTAAACGAGAATTTAAAAACTTGCTCCTATCAAGAACCACCCCTGTGGGATACAGATACGAGAAATCAAATTAGAATATAGAAAGACATGGAAAGCAAAATGTATGAAATCCAAGTGCGGACGATCAGCTTTTTGATGTGGAATACCCGGGCGAAATCATCGTATCGTCGCTTGCTTGCTCAACTCCATCGAAAGGCACCTAGGACATTCAAAGACTACCCGATGCGTGTACTTACACCAAGACGGGTTACTCAGACACTGGGAGCGGCCGAGCCGCGGACCTTTTCCGGCTGGAATTTCGCAGCGTCCGCGGCCCGGCCGGAGATGGGCCGCGGCTCGGCCGGAAAACAGCCTCGGCTCGTCCGCTTTTGGGCCGCGGCTCAGCCGGAGCTGGTTGTCGGGCCGTCTAGTTCATTCTAGCTCGGATACAGTAGAACTGTTTTCTTGTTCACTGGCACATAGAACATACGCAGTAAAAAAAACAAAAATTGAGGCCACCGGTATAGGCTTCGGAGACCAATTCCGACTTCAACATTGGACAACACAAGATGCTATCCAAGGTTGTACAACATATTGATCTTGTTCCCGCCTTGGAGACTGGAAAGACATCGAAGGCCATGAACACTGAGGGCAGCCTGACCATGCATCGTACACCACGCAAGTATTCTTTATGCTCAGACAGCGCATAGGACCCCTCCGCCGGAGAAATGGCAGGGCCGCGGGGTTTCCTCAGCGGTGAGTCTGCCACTCGTCCGCCGGAGCCCTCCCATTTCTGCTCCGGAGACCTCCCATTTCTGCTCCGGAGACCTCCCATTTTCTGCTCCGAAGACCTCCCATTTTCTGCTCCGGATACCTCCCATTTTCTGCTCCGGAGACCTCCCATTTTCTGCTCCGGATACCTCCCATTTTCTGCTCCGGATACCTCCCATTTTCTACTCCGGATACCTCCCATTTTCTGCTCCGGATACCTCCCATTTTCTGCTCCGGAGACCTCCTATTTGCGCTCCGGAGCACCCCGTTTTTGTGCTCCGCAAGTCTGCCGCGGCATACTGTAGTTAGCCCTAATTAAGCTCCAAACCCCAATTTTGTCTCTAAACCCCACCCAAATCAGCCGAATACGACCCCCCCCCCCGGGTGAGAGTTCAGCGCGACCTTCAACCCCGTTCTTTACCCCCTCCCTCTCACCCCTAGCGTTTGTGGATAGAAGATAGAAGAATGAAGAAACAAGACATTTATTTCAAATTAACTACAAACAATCTCCTGCAAATTGCAAAACAAAACTTAGCGGCTACAAAACGTATGGCCGTAACAACAGACACAAGACATAACATAAGACGTAGTAGTAGTATTGCTAATAAGAAGAACTTTATGCAGGAAAGAAGACCCAAACCGGTGAACACGAGATAGCAAAAGCACATATCGACAATTTTGATTGCAGGTTTGCCATCATTTGAAATGCAAACTTAGAGTAGTTTTTTTTTGCGAAAAAGATGGAACACAAACTTTTTGCATGATTTAGCATTAGATCCCACACGTGTGAGTATATTTGAAAACAACTCTATTTAGAGAGAAAGTCGAACATCTCTCGAAGAAAAATAACGAGCACTTGCCTCCTCCCATCTCTATCAAAACTTCTGCTGTGAAGTAGACCAAACGCGGAGAACAGTTTGAGAGTAAAACGTCCGAGAAATTTGAGATCCGATTCTTTGAACTCAGCCATACTCATGCCAACCTAAACACCAACAAATGGATACAAGGACAGAATGTGGAGATTAAACATGCCTTATTCGTTTCCGGATTAAACTTCGGTAAGCGATGTCGTGGCACAAGCTTGAAGAGTTGTGGTAAAGAGTATAGAAAATTAAATACCTGAAGTACACAAAACTCGCAGAATCCGCAATAGAACCACAGTCTATCATTACTTATAATAACGGGCTAAGGATGTTTACGTGACTTGTGTGTGTGTGTGTGTGTGTGTGTGTGTGTGTGTGTGTGTGTGTGTGTGTGTGTGTGTGTGTGTGTGTGTGTGTGTGTGTGTGTGTGTGTGTGTGTGTGTGTGTGTGTGTGTGTGTGTGTGTGTGTGTGTGTGTGTGTGTGTGTGTGTGTGTGTGTGTGTGTGTGTGTGTGTGTGTGTGTGTGTGTGTGTGTGTGTGTGTGTGTGTGTGTGTGTGTGTGTGTGTGTGTGTGTGTGTGTGTGTGTGTGTGTGTGTGTGTGTGTGTGTGTGTGTGTGTGTGTGTGTGTGTGTGTGTGTGTGTGTGTGTGTGTGTGTGTGTGTGTGTGTGTGTGTGTGTGAGTGTGTCTGTTACGAAATTCGTACAGCATGTTCCAGCCAACCTCCTGGGCTCAAATTTTGCACAGCTCATGCTACCAGCATGAAAGTCCAACATGCAAAAGCACAAGCAGATTCGTTGAGTGGATCCCACAGAAACTGCGCGTCAATCGGTTCCACTTTGCATTTGGGGCGCAAATTTGGGTCCGTAATTCAACTTTTTGCAGAGTCGTCGATGTTTATGCCAAGTTAATGTGCAAGCCATGAACATAGGCCCAAAAAGTGATCAAAAGTCCATTACTTTACAAAAACGGCGCCAAGAAGTGTTGGTTATGTAAATGACCAATTTGCCGAGGTTTTAGCGGAGCATTTGACGAGATTTTGCACAAAGATGTAGCTCACGGTGACTGCTGTTCTTACTGCAACTGTCAAGATCATGGGAAAATCGAAAACCTGTAAAAATTTGCGTTTGTTTTCCTGCAAAAGGTCTCATCCACGCGAAATTACCAATTTCACATAAAAAAGCTGTCGGAATGAGTAGTTGTTTACATTTTGTTCGTGATAGTCGACATTGCTCGGTGAGTTCCAATGCCATCATTATGCGAGAATGAGTAGGGCCTAGGTAGAGCCAGTGCGAGCCTCTGCGAAGCAGAGGTGACGCACTGGTGAGAACAATAACGAGCGATGGCCGTAAAGTACAGTCGAGTAGATTTAGCGGTAAATATAGTGTGCTTGCACAGAAGGTGAAATGCGGTGAAATTTGCGCGTGAACAAGTAGCCACGTCAGTACCGCGGGTATCTTGCGCGCAATTGGCCGACGTCACAGTCGAAACTATTTCTTCACGCGCCAATTTCACCGCATTTCACCTTTTGTGCAAGCACACTATATTTACCGCTAAATCTACTCGACTGTACCTGTGGATTAAGGAACAGTATCATGGTCTTGCTAAAATGACCAAGAATTGATACGACGGCTAGAGTCATCCCTGCCCAATAACAAAATCTATCGCAAACAAAAACTCGTGCTGGATACTAAAACTAGGGTTTAGTGAGAAGCAGAAAGGGAAATCTGGCATCACTTACTTTATTGATTTGATAGAGAGCCAATGTACACGTTAAGAAGGGTATCAGAAAGTAGAGTGACAGCAAATGGTCCCAATACTGTTCTTCTACACGCGTAACCTGAATGTGAGACTGATTTGATAATACGACCGATACCGATAGTCTATACGTTTACCATGAATCTTGGAAGATACATAGCAGATTAGGTAATGAATGACGCCGACTCTGAGCGCACATACACACTTGAACAGGACACGTACAGTCTGCCCCAATCGGGATCAGGCCGAACCGTCGGCTGAATTTGCGCGCTCGCAGTGCTAGGGGATTGCGCTGCATACGCGCGCTGTCGCAGAGAGTGAAGAGATCGAGGAGAGAGCAGACTGCCAGCCGCAGATGTGGCGCGAAACCCTATCGGCGCGGACTCCCGCCATGCCGATTTTGGCCTGGTTAGGATTGGGGCAGACTGTACTTAAATCTACACATGGCTGCGCAAAGCGCGCCCCATGATCCGGCGCCAAATTAGCCAGCGCGCATGGTCTACGATGCCGGAGCACGCTAGGTACTTTGAACTCTAAGATTTTATGCATAAAGTGAGGGCAATGTAACCGAGGATTCTTCGCATACGGTGGAATCTATGTAATCAGTGATTCTTTGCATATCTACATAGTTGATAAGCAAAGAATCATCTCAGAATCATCAAGAACCATCTCGTTCATGCCTTCAAATGGATTGCTTGTTGAAATGTTGAGTTAAATATGGGTCAATTTGTCCCCACCAAAACTTATAGGCCAAACTCTATCTGAAGAAAACGTAAATGCGGTTCCACACAATCAGTTTCGAGAATTGTTGTTTAACAATGATGGATGCCTTGCAAAGACCATAGGAGTTACTGTCCACTAATGCTTCAGGTTCTTCACGTTTTGTTTAGAACACAACAGAGCATGCAATTTAACAAACTAAGTTGTCACTACTTACAAACATTTGATGGAATCCACTAAGTCAAGTGCAAGACCAACGAAAAGTGCTTGACCGCCTCTATTTCCATGTTCCGGAAAAGCCCATACATGAGGAAGTGAGTGAATGACACGAGGATTTCTCAGTAAATCCTTTGTTTTTCGATCCATCGATCCGCGCACTGTTCTAAACTCAACGCGTCTATGCATGCCTTATGATGCTTAACAAGTGCTTTTTCGCTCCAGTCACTAATCGTCATATGACTGTGTCCGATGGTTTCAAGCCCATCCGTTCCTGCTCTTTGGAGGGTGCACATAGATGTGAAACAGC